CTACCAGGTTCCATAGGATGGTCACTTGAGTTCCACCAGGTTCCATAGGGTGGTCACTTGGATCCCACCATGTCCCACTGGGTGGTCACTTGGATCCCACCAGGGTCCATTGAATGGTCACTTGGATCCCACCAGGTCCCACAGGATGGTCACTTGAGGTCCACCAGATTCCATAGAATGGTCACTTGAGTTCCACCAGCGTCCATAGGATGGTCACTTGGATCCCACCAGGTCCCACAGGATGGTCACTTGGATCCCACCAGGGTCCATTGAATGGTCACGTGGATCCCACCAGATTCCATTGGATGATCCCGTGGGTCCCCCCAACCAAGCAAAGCTCCCCATTGTCCTGGGGTGGCCTCCATGCCAGGAGATCCTTGTCCTGGGAGTCTGACCCCGTGTCCCTCCGCAGGCCCGGGAGGAGCTGCGCCCGGTCAAGGAGGACTTTGAAGCCAAGAACAAGCAGCTCCTGGAGGAGATGCCCAAATTCTACAGCAGCCGCATCGATTACTTCAAACCCAGCTTCGAGTCGCTGGTCCGGGCACAGGTGAGACATTGTCCCCCCCGGTCCCTGTGTCGTGTCCTGTCCCACAGCTCCAGCCCTGCCTGGTTTATCCTCTGGGATTCCATGGCTTTATCCACCTGGGAGCTCCATCTCCTCGAATTTGGAGTCCTGAGCTCAGAGCTTCATTAGGTTTGAGGTGTTTGGGCTCCTGGTGAGTGGAGAAGAGGATCCTGGGACATCTCCACACCAAAGATCTGCAGGAAGAGATGCCCTGAGTAACCACCAGCTTCCATTTCTTCCATCCTCCAGCTTACCCAGTGGCAGGGGATGTGCTGCCATTCCTCCTCCTCCTCCTCCTCCTCCTCCTCCTCCTCCTCCTCCTCCTCCCTTTCCCTTCGGCTGCAGAGGGGCAGGGTTGGGATCTCACCAAGCTTTGAGAACCTCTGGCAGCCCGTGGGAGCTCCATCTCCTCGAATTTGGAGTCCTGAGCTCAGAGCTTCATTAGGTTTGAGGTGTTTGGTCTCCTGGTGAGTGGAGAAGCTCCTGGGACATCTCCACACCAAAGACCTGAATAACCACCAGCTTCCATTTCTTCCATCCTCCAGCTTCTTTTGGGGACGTGCTGCCACTCCTCCTCCTCCTCCTCCTCCTCCTCCTCCTCCTCCCTTTCCTTCAGCTGCAGAAGGGCAGGGTTGGGATCTCCCCAAGCTTTGAGAACCTCTAGCAGCCCCGGGAGGAGGGTGGGACCCACGCCGTGGCCCTTCTCCCGCTCTCCTGCGGCGTCCTGGGGCCGGGAGCTGCCGCAGGCACCCGGGTGGTGCCGGGAGCACGTGTTCCACCTCACCTCCGACTTGGGGGGGCCTCTGCATGGAGCTGCCAGCGAGTTGTCTGCAAGGCTGATTCACCTACCAGATGGTGCCGATGCTCCCCGCGCCGCAGGGTGGGTGCTGGGGATGCTGTTCCTGCTGTTCCCTTAGCAATCGGCCGCGGGGCTCCCTGTTCCAGCCCGGAATAACCACGATTCCCAGAGCTGTTGCAGACTCTTGCTGGCCTTTTTCCCCACTGAAGCTTTGAAAGCTGAATTTTCTCTGCCCTCTCCGTGGTTTTCTTCGCCTTTGCCCCTCCGGCTTCTCGCTGTTTGTGTCCTGATTCCCAAGATTTTGGACTTTGGGGTGCCCAGAGATGCAAGCAGGGAGCAGCAGGGTGTCACTGCTGGGGCAGTTTGTCAGACTCTCCATCCATCTCCCTCTTCTTCCTTAGGAATCCTCAGCTTTCTTTCCCATCTATCTGCCTTGCCTCTCTTCAGGTGAGGAATTTGTTGGGAAAACCGAGTGAAATCCCGTTTTGAACACCCAAAAAGACAGCGTCACAACAGAGCTGATGCATCTCCCGTAGGCTGCGCTTCGAGCTGGTCCCAGATGGGTGCAGCTCCTCACATCCCTCCCTCCCTGCCAGCCTCCATGGGAGCCTCATCCCTCTTCCTTCCCAGCACTGCCTGCATCCTTCCACCCGCGGGGAGGGATGCTGGGAGGAGAGTTTGGAATATTTGTGCCGTGTCCCCCCCTGGCTCGGGAGCTCTGCGCAGCGTTTTCCCACTGAAGTGGCAGAAATCAAGTGGAAAAGGGATGTGATTTGCCCGAGGTAATGAGTCAGTGGCGAGCCAGGAATAGCAGCAGGAGCCCTGAGTCAGCTCGGCGCTGCTCACCTGCAGGCACCTGGCTGGGAAGGGCAGGCAGGAGCATCCCCATGCCAGGAGAGAGCTGGCACGGGAATGCTGCCCTGCTCTCCCTCCCCCTGTGCCCCCCCGAGCTGATCAGCAGCTGGGGGAGTCGTGTTCCTCGAGGTCATTCCTGTTTTCAGCCTTTTCTGCAGGAGTGGGGTGAGGCTGGAGGTGAATCCCACAAGGAAAGGACTGGATGGGGCTGGCCTCCTGCAGGATGCTGGGATTTTGGGGTGGGACTGGGGCTGGCCTCATTCAGGATGCTGATTTTGGGATGGGACTGGGGCTGGTCTCATTCAGGATGCTGATTTTGGGGTGGGACTGGGGCTGCTGGCCTTGTTCAGGATGCTGATTTTGGGGTGGGACTGGGGCTGGCCTCATTCAGGATGCTGATTTTGGGATGGGACTGGGGCTGGCCTTGTTCAGGATGCTGATTTTGGGGTGGGACTGGGGCTGGCCTCATTCAGGATTCTGGGATTTTGGGGTGGGACTGGGGCTGGCTTCATTCAGGATGCTGATTTTGGGATGGGACTGGGGCTGGCCTCCTGCAGGATGCTGATTTTGGGGTGGGACTGGGGCTGGCCTCATTCAGGATGCTGATTTTGGGGTGGGACTGGGGCTGGCCTCATTCAGGATGCTGATTTTGGGGTGGGACTGGGGCTGGCCTCCTGCAGGATGCTGGGATTTTGGGGTGGGACTGGGGCTGGTCTCATTCAGGATGCTGATTTTGGGATGGGACTGGGGCTGGTCTCATTAGGGATGCTGATTTTGGGATGGGACTGGGGCTGGCCTTGTTCAGGATGCTGATTTTGGGATGGGACTGGGGCTGGGCTTCATTCATACAGGATGCTGGGATTTTGGGATGGAACTGGGCCTCATTCAGGATGCTGATTTTGGGGTCGGACTGGGGTTCATTCAGGATGCTGTGATTTTGGGATGGAACTGGGGCTGGGTCTCATTCAGGATGCTGTGATTTTGGGATGGGACTGGGGCTGGGCCTCATTCAGGATTCTGGGATTTTGGGGTTGTTTCACCCTGGGTCAAACCCACCATCCAAAGGCAAACCCGTGTTAATTTTCCTTATTTTTCGGCGCTGGAGGAAGCCGGGAGTTAAAGCAAGACAAATTTTGTGACAGTGACACCATCCAGTGCCACGATGAGCTGGGAGGGGACCAGCTGCCTCCCGGGGAAGGGGAAGGACCCTGCTCCCAAGCACCTCCGTGGCTGTGACCCAAGGAGACCCTCCCGAGGCTCCTGCCCGGGCGGGCGGGCGAGTTCCCGTGGCACAGCCTGGCTCTGCTCCCGGGGCTGGGTGTCTCCTGACATGTCCCGAGCTTGCAGGGCTGTAACATTCAACACCAAATTCTTCTCTCCACCCACGGGCCCGGGCCAAGCCAAGGGAGGCAAATATTTCCCTGGCTGGGGGCTTTGAAGTGGCCACATGGAAGATGAAAGGGGGAGATTTTGGAGCTGTCGCTGGTGTGAGGCGTGAACAGCACTTCCTTCCCGCTTTGTGCTTTGTTTTCCAGCTAGAAAACAGGAGATTCCTTTGGATTTCAATGGAATGGGGGGAAAGATGGGGCTGGCAAGGCAGGGATGGTGCTGTGGGCTGGGGGAGCCTGGTTCTGGCAGCGCCCCTGGTTTGTTTTGGGTAGGGCTGCCCCAAACAAGCAACTGCTGGGCCATTGTGGCCAGGATCTATAGAAAATCCACAGAACACGGCGTCCCCAAACAGAATTAGTTCAAGACAGGTGGACTTGGGGCCGTTGGCTCGGGCTCAAAGGCGAGTTGGAGCTGGGATTTGATGGGGTGGGAGCATATGGCATCCATAGCTGGAAAAGTACTGGGCTGGCGGGAGCAGGTAGGGCAGGCTGAGCTGGCTGGCCCCTGTCACTGTCACCAGTTTGGGGTGCAGCCCCTCCCTGGGAGGGTTTTCACTGCTCTTTCAACAGGAGAAATCACGGGGGGATCGATGCCAGTGGGGTTTTGTGGATGAAGCTGGGGAGGCTCGGCTGGCGCGGCGCTGCAGCGTCTGGATGGTGCCAGCTGGTTCTGCACTGGGGCCTGCTGGGGACAGGAGCATCTCCAGGGACACCCGGCGGGCCCTGGGGACAGGAGGGGTCCCCAAGGACACCCACCAGGCCCTGGGGACATGGGGTGTCCCTGGGGAAGGAGTTGGTGGCTGCGGGATGTGGGTGGAAGGGGAGCAGCGGCGAGGAACTCGCTCTGCTCTGCCCAGTCGGTGCAGCGTGGATGCTGGGGGACAGTCCTGGGGACAATCCATTGGGGACAGCCCTGGGGACAGTCCTGGGTTCAATCCTGGGGACAGTCCTGGGTTCAATCCATTGGGGACAGTCCTGGGTTCAATCCATTGGGGACAGTCCAAGGGACAATCCATTGGGGACAGCCCTGGGTTCAATCCATTGGGGACAGCCCTGGGGACAGTCCAGGGGACAATCCATTGGGGACAGCCCTGGGTTCAATCCATTGGGGACAGCCCTGGGGACAGTCCTGGGGACAATCCTGGGGACAGTCCTGGGGACAATCCTGGGGACAGTCCTGGGTTCAATCCATTGGGGACAGTCCTGGGGACAATCCATTGGGCACAGCCCTGGGGACAGTCCTGGGTTCAATCCTGGGGACAGTCCTGGGTTCAATCCATTGGGGACAGTCCTGGGTTCAATCCTGGGGACAGTCCTGGGGACAATCCATTGGAGACAGTCCTGGGGACAGTCCTGGGTTCAATCCATTGGGGACAGCCCTGGGGACAGTCCATTGGGGACAGCCCTGGGGACAGTCCTGGGGACAATCCTGGGGACAATCCTGTGTTCAATCCGTTGGGGACAGTCCTGGGGACAATCCATTGGGGACAGTCCTGGGGACAATCCTGGCCTCAATCCACTGGGGACAATCCTGGGGACAGTCCTGGGCTCAATCCTGAGGAAAATCCTGGGGGACAATCCTGGGTTCAATCCTGAGGAGAATCCTGGGGAAAATCCTGGGGAAAATCCTGGGGGACAATCCTGGCCTCAATCCTGAGGAAAATCCTGGGGAAAATCCTGAGGACAATCCTGAGGAAAATCTTGGGGGACAATCCTGGGGACAATCCTGGCCTCAATCCTGAGGAAAACCCTGGGGGACAATCCTGAGGAAGATCCTGGGGGACAATCCTGGGGGACAATCCTGGGGACAATCCTAGGGTGCAATCCTGGTCCTGGAGGAATCCTCAGGGATTTCTGGATCCTGGTGGACGGGGCAGTTCTGGAGTCAATCCTGGGGAACAATTGTCCCCAAATCCTGGGGAACAATCCTGGGACCAATCCCGAAGGACAAACATCCCCCAGTTTTGGGGAACAATCCTGGGGGTGGCATCTGCCACCCTGACAAGGTTCAGCTTTTTCTGTGCTGGAATTGGCAGTGCCCCTTGGCCATGTGTGACTGAGCAGAGCCCATCTGGCCCCGGGCTGGGGACAAGGGACATGGGGGGCTGCTCCAGGGCTCTGGCACCCCGCTTGGCACCCGTACCCCCGGATCCCTGCCCACCCGTGGCACTGCCAGAGGATTTCGGGTGTTTTCGGCATCTCTTGCTGGCAGGGGGGCTCAGAGGATGCTGGGGGTGACCCAGCTGTGGGGTTGTGCTTTGGGGGGCGTGCAGGGATTTTGGGGGGCCCTTGCCAGCTCAGCCCCGTGTGGGGTTCGTTAGTCACCGTGTAAATGAGCATTGCTGTGACTCAGCCGGCAGCGCTGCGTGGGGAGCCCCGGCCACGAGCAGCCCCCGGACCCCCGGCACGGCCGGGCCTGGGGAGGGGGCTTCAGGCAGCGTTCAGCCTGGAAATTGGGGGCCCACGATGCCCCCTGGGGCCTGCCCAAAATCGGCAGCGTTTTGAGCAGGATTAGGGGAGCTGGTCTCCATGGAGACCGTGGATGTCTCAGTGCTGCTGGAGATGCTGGGGCCCTCCTGGGAAATGGGGACAGCGTTGGCATTGCCCACCCTGGGGGGGCTTCGCTCCCCAATCCCTCCCTGAGGGGCGTGGGGGGACATCCAGGACAGGATCCCACAGCTGGCACAGCACCAGGGGTCCTGCAGTGCCGGGGTCCCACGGGAGGGTCTGGGGGTCCTACAGTGCAGGGGGTACCCAGAGGTTCTGTGCTTCGGGGGGTCTCACAGGCAGCACCACGAGTGCCCAAGCGGCCCTGGGGGTCTCACAGGCAGGGCTGGGGGTCCCGCAGCACCGAGGGTCCCGCAACACTGGGGGTCCCGCAGTGCCCCGGGTCCCAGGACACAGGGGGGGACCCGCAGCACCGGAGGGGTCCCACGACACCGGGGGTCCCACAGTGCCCCGGGTCCCGGGACACCGAGGATCCCGCGACACCGGGGGTCCCGGGACACCGGGGGGGGTGGTTCCCGCAGCACCGGGGGTCTCACGACACCGGGGGGGTCCCACAGTGCCCCGGGTCCCGGGACACCAAGGATCCCGCGACACCGGGGGTCCCGGGACACCGGAGGGGGTGGTTCCCGCAGCACCGGGGGTCCCGCAGCACCGGGGGTCTCCAGGCAGAGCTGGGAGCCCCCCTCTCCCCGCTCAGCCACGCCGCTGCCATCTGCCTGCGCTGACCCACGGGCTCCCGCGCCGGCAAGAGCTGCTCGCTGCCGGAGATAATTGGCGGTGCTAATTAGCACGTTATTAACACACCCCTCCTCCTCCTCCTCCTCCTCCTCCTCGCCGTGCTCCGCACGGGGCACGGCTCTGCCGGGCGTGCCCCCTTCGCCGAGCCCACCGTGCCCACCGGGCCGTGGGCAGCGTGGGCAGGCGGCGGGTGCCGGTGGCACCGGTGACAAACGAGGGGACGGGAGGGTGGCGGTGCCGGTGGCGGCTCGCAGATGGGAAGCGAGCGGAGAAGGGCAGCGTGTTATTAAAATGTGTTGAGTTGTAATAATCCGAGGGGGTGGCATGGCCGCGTGGGAGGGAGCTATTTTAGACCCCAACGCCGCGGCGAGGGGCTGCCGAGGGCACCCGCGGGTGGGGTGGGCTGGGGAGGAGACCCCCCCCTCATTCCCCTCCCTCCCCACTCCCCCTTTTATCCAACAGGTTGTCTACTACACGGAGATGCACAAGATTTTTGGGGACCTGACGGCGCAGATCGACCGGCCCGGGCTGAGCGACGAGCAGCGCGAGCGGGAGAACGACGCCAAGCTCAGCGAGCTCCGGGCGCTCTCCATCGTGGCCGACGACTGAGGCCAGCCTGGGGGTGTGGAGGGGATGGGGATCCCCCCCTTTCCCCCCAGCTCCCCTCCCAGGGACGGACTCGCGGCTCTGCATCGTCCTTGTCGGTCCGCGAATGAGTTTCGCCTTAAATTTTGGGGGTGTGGAGGAGCAAGGAAAGGGAGCGATCCCGTGCGGACAAAGATGGGGATTGGGATGTGGGGTGCTGGGTTTTACCAGGTTCCAGACCCCTCTTTGCACCCCCAGAGCCCAGAGGGTGAGACCCCCCACTCCTTCCCCTCATTTTGTGCCTTAGTAGCCCGGTGGTCCCCTCAGGGGAGGGTAAAATCACTCAAATCCCGTTTTTTGAGGTACAGGGAGGGGGTGATGCCTCCCGTGGCGAGCGTCCATCCCTCTTTTCCCAGGAATGGGACAAAGAGCCCGTGCCCCAGTGCTGGGGGGTGCAGGGTGGGGACAGGGGACCCCAGACCCCAGAGCAGGGACAGCTGGGGGACATCCCTACGGAAGCAAACCTATGGAAAACTGGGGGCTTCAGCCCCGCCTCGGTGTGCGGGGAAGGGCCGCAGGGACTCGGTGGCTTGTCCCCAATAAAGTTTTTGGCAGCGCAGCATGGCCGGGGCTGCGTCGGTGCCACCGCTGGGGCTGTGTCGCTGTCACCACTGGGGTTGTGCCGGTGTCACCGTCACCACCAAGGCTGTGCTGGTGCCACCACTGGGGCTGTGCCAGTGTCACTGTCACCACCAGGGCCATGTCTGTGCCACCACCGGGTCCGTGCCGTTATGGCTGTTACCACCAGGGCCATGCTGGTGTCACCACCGTGTCCGTGCCAGTGCCACTTCTGGGGCCATGCCGGTGTCACTGCTGTGCTGGTGTTGCTGTCACTGCCAGGGCCATGCCAGTGCCACCGCTGGGGCCGTGTTGGTGTTGCTGTCACCACCAGGGCCGTGCCAGTGTCACCACCGGGTCCATGCCGGTGCCGGTGTCACCGCCAGGGTGGTGTCGCTGTCACCACTGGGGCTGTGCCAGTGTCACCATGCCGGTGTCACTGTGCCAGTGTCAGTGTCACTGTCACCACTGGGGCTGTGCCGGTGTCACCGTGCCAGTGTCGGTGTTGCTGTCACCACTGGGGCTGTGCCAGTGTCACCATGCCGGTGTCACCGTGCCAGTGTCACTGTGCCAGTGTCACTGTGCCAGTGTCGGTGTCACTGTCACCACTGGGGCTGTGCCGGTGTTGCTGCCGTGCTGGTGTCGCTGTCACCACCAGGGCCATGTCTGTGTCAGTGTCAGGGCCGTGCTGGTGTCACCATGCCGGTGTCAGTGTCGCTGTCACCATCAGGGCCATGCCGGTGTTACCGTGCCAATGTTGGTGTCACTGTCACCGCCAGGGCTGTGCCAGTGTCACCGTGACGGTGTCGGTATCATCATGCCGGTCCCTGTGTCGGTGTCCCCGCTGGGGCTGTGCCGGTGTCACCGTGCCGGTGTCACCGTGCCGGTGTCGGTGTCATCATGCCGGTCCCTGTGTCGGTGTCGCTGTCACCACCGGGGCCGTGCCGGTGTCACCGTGCCGGTGTCACCGTGCCGGTCCCTGTGTCACTGTTACCGCTGGGGCCGTGCCGGTGTCACCGTGCTGGTGTCGGTGTCGCTGTCACCGTGTCGGTGTAGCTGTCACCGTGCCGGTGTCAATGTCACCGTGCCGGTGTCACCGTGCCGGTGTCGGTGTCACTGTCACCATGTCGGTGTAGCTGTCACCGTGCCGGTGTCAATGTCACTGTGCCGGTGTCACCGTGCCGGTGTCGGTGTCGCTGTCACCATGCCGGTGTCAATGTCACCGTGCCGGTGTCACCGTGCCGGTGTCACCGTGCCGGTGTCACCGTGCCGGTGTCGGTGCCGGTGTCACCGTGCCGGTGTCGGTGTCGCTGTCACCGTGCCGGTGTCGGTGTCAATGTCACCGTGCCGGTGTCGCTGTCACCGTGCTGGTGTCAATGTCACCGTGCCGGTGTCGCTGTCAATGTCACCGTGTCGCTGTCGCTGTCACCGTGCCGGTGTCAATGTCACCGTGCCGGTGTCGCTGTCACCGTGCCGGTGTCGCTGTCAATGTCACTGTGCCGGTGTCGGTGTCGCTGTCACCGTGCCGGTGTCGCTGTCAATGTCACGGTGTCGCTGTCGCTGTCACCGCCGGGCCGCTGTCGCCCTCTGCCGCCGCCCGGCCGCCACTGCAGGGGGACGCGGGGGGCTCGGGGTGTCCCGGGGGGAGAACCGGGACTGAACATCCCCGTGGAGGGGGAAGGAGGCGGCGCCGGAGCACGAGGAACGGAGGTTTCGGTACAAGAGGAGCTTTCCGGCCCGACTGGCACCTTCCAGGGTCAGCAGGGGCCGCCTGCTGGGTCCTGGGCTGAGCGGGTGCTGCTCGGGGTGGGCTTGGAAGCCCACCCTGCTGAGGTTCCAGTGGAGATGACGAAGGTCCCTTCGAGGCTCCTGCTGCTCCAGGTACCAGGGAAACCTTCCCCAGCCCTTCCCAGCGGGACCTGCGTGAGACGGGGAGCGGTGCTTGGGGTGTCCTGGGAAGCCCAGCAGGAAATGAGGATGGAACCCCTAAAACCAAACCGTCCCTTCCCAGCTGGTGCAGAAGGGATGGGACAGAGCTGTGAGAGTGCTGCTGGCTGTCCCCAGTGCGGGGACACGGCGAGGTGCCCCCAGGAGCGTCCCAGGCCGCGGCTCCTCCCCAGCTCTCAGCAGGGAGAACTTCATCCCTCCCTCTCCCCTTGGCTGTTCCTTCCCAACCACATCACATGGCAGGCCAGGTTGAAGCAAAATAAACCCCGTTGCCACAGTTACCCAGAGCAGGGATGCTAAATATACAGAATATAGATATTTATATATATATATATATATTTAACAGCCATGTACAGAGCCTGTGAGGCTGAGCAAGGGACACGCTCCCTCACGGGATCCGAGCCCTGCAGACCTCAGTGTGGTCCCAAACGGGCACAGATCCCTCTGTGGCCTGGATTCCTGCCCAGATTCCAGACCCCCATGGCTCACCTGAACCCACCTGGTGGTTTTATCTGTGCCGCTGTCACCCTGTGTGGCACAGCCAGACCTCCCCGGCCACTTCGTCCCCAGCATCCCTCCCCTTCTGCGCTCCGAGCATCCCCAAATCCCCGCTCCTGGTCCCTGCCAGCACTCAGGATGTCACCCATGGGAACTTCAACCCAGGCGTTCCCAGGGATTCACTCCGCCTACTCTCCACAGCGGCTGGGGAGGAGAATTCCATCTTTGATAGTAAAAAGTGGATAATTAGCGGGTTTTGCACCGCCCACAAGATCCCAGCGCTAATAGGGAGAGCGGCAGGAAGGGAAAACTCGCTCTGCGATGAGGAACGTGCTCGGCCTCGGTGGCTGGGGCACCCCTGGGTGAGGCTCATCAGCACCCCGAGCTCCAGGAGGGAAGGGAAGGATCCCCCGGAGGATCCGCGAGTGGCAGCGGGGCCAGCCCAGCATGGGGAGCATTCCCTGCTGCTGAGCAAATCCTCCTCCTTTTCCCTCCCCGTCGGGAATTCCGGGTTAGCTCAGTGGCTTTGCTGCCATCCCAATTGTCCCCCTTCCTCCCCAAATCTCAGACAGGTTTAGCAGGTGTCAGTCCACCTCCAATCCCGAGGATTTTCCTCACAAATAGGATGAATTAACCCTGTCCAGGCCTGCCAACACCAGCACACATCTGCATCCGCACCTTGATTTTCCTTGTCAGGGGCTCGGGAGCTTCCCCCTGTTCCAGGTGATTCGGGGGTGCTGGGGTGGGACAGAGAGGCTCAGGTCTCCTTCCTCCTCCTCACCCGGGGCCTGGAAGGAGAATCAGCATCCCCTGGACCAGCCCCAGCAGCTCCCTTGGGATCATCACTGGGATTCAGGCGGGTCCCAGGGGAGGGGGAGGATGGAGGAGCAGAGGGGCAGCAGGGGAGGGGGTGCCCAGACCCCCACCCCGCACCGGGAGCACCCAGCCGGGTCCTTCCCCACCGCCCCGAGCCCCTCCCCATTGCTCCTCACCCTGGGGGGCTCAGGAGGGCCGAGGGGGGGAGATGGGAAGGGGTTTGATGCTGGAAAGGGGGGAACAAGGATAAAACACACACAACCCCCCGAGCTGTGCTCCAAAAACTCTTCAGCACCTCCGGACAGGCTGCGACCCAGCCGGGGGGCACTGCCAGGGACCCCCTGTCCCCCCAGACCCTGCCGTGAGGGTGGGCACGGCGGGGACGAGCACTCACGGTTCCCGGGGAGGAGCGGGGGGATGCGGGACGCTGCAGCTCCAGGGATGTCCCCGGGGCTCCCTCACGGTTCCCGGGGAGGAGCGGGGGGATGCGGGACGCTGCAGCTCCAGGGATGTCCCCGGGGCTCCCTCGCGGTTCCCGGGGGGATGCGGGGGGATGCGGGACGCTGCAGCTCCAGGGATGTCCCCGGGGCTCCCTCGCGGTTCCCGGGGGGATGCGGGACGCTGCAGCTCCAGGGA